GGTAGTCAGTAAACGCATCGCCAGAGAAGACGTCATATGATGTACAGACGTTATCAGGAGGCACGACCAGACGCAGCAGCATCAACAACAACAATCTAGAGTCGGCAAAAAGGAGAGAATAGGAGACCAGCGGCCGTGTTAAATGGTATGTTGTGTATGAACTTATTTATTTTGTGTGAGCTGGCAGTAGACTTGACTGTGTGTGTGTGTGTGTGTGTGTGTGTGTGTGTGTGTGTGAAGTGAGGTAAAGTAGGCTAAGTATGATTGTAACATGCAGTGCGTCTGTTTAATCTGAACTGAAGACCTAACGTAACGTTATAAAAGTCAGTGAACGTTAACATTATGTCACTGTTTTTATATCTGTCATTGGTGAAGCTGTAACGTTAGCATGAGATTACCAGGTGATGACATTGTATGTGGCTCTGTTTTAGAAAAGGAGGAGGTGGAAGACTGCTTTGGTAGCATAGGATTTTCTTGGAGGCATAGGGACCTGAGACTGTGTTAAAATAATAAATAAATAATAAGTAAATGGTCAATAGTTGTGTGTGTTAACTGCTGTATTTTGTGCCGGGCTGGCACCAGTCACTGCTGTGTGGGAAACCAATGAATTTAGTAGTTATAAATGCAGACCATCTGATCAGATGATGCCCTATGTCACTGTTTTGTACGTCACTGTTGTTAGTGAAGGTGTAACTTGTTATACTAGATTACAATGAGATGACAATATTATCTCTATCTTTTGCGAGTGCACTTTATAAATGTAGGCTATTCTTTGATTTTAATAAAGTAGCATTTTTGTTGTTGTTTAGCCTTGCTGATGCTGCTGCATGGGGAGATACAGTTATTTTTATTGTATGAAAAAATCATATCTGCAGTAGAAAGTTGCACTTTGGAAATTTGGTTTGGTACATAGTGATACATGGTCTGAAATGTTTAAGAATCTCTGATGTAGCACATTTCAAACAGAGGCAATTACATAGAGCATATAAAAAAGAGCACAATGACTAAATTATATAAGTATATTACCAACACTGATGTTATTTCTTTATGAAACTATTCACTTTCTATTGGCTCTGTCTTGCAGTTCTTCTCATGTTCTCCTCTGCTCTTATTCTACCCAAGCTCCTGAGGCGGAGGCTACGGAGGTGGATGAATGAGGGGATTACGGTGATGTCATCCCTTTTTTTGATTGCCACCTTTTGTGTCATAAATATCAGTTCAGTATTCAGTTATGAGTTGAAACCTTTGACCAAAAAAATCCATCCTAACTCAAGCTAATAAGATTAATAAGATATTTTTGTCTTCCTCAGTGGATGGATGGTTGGTGATGTCACTCATTTGTTTGATTGCAACCTTTTTTGTAATAAGAGCTGGTCAAAATACTGAAAAAGTACTTGTCCCCGTTTTTTATTTCACAATGATAATATTTAATGATTTTTCACCACCGCACTGAAAATGTCCCCGATTCTCATCTCAGAAATCTGGTCACCTTAAGTCAGCAGTCATTCAGTTTGTTGCCCTAGTAACCCGCTTCCTCTGAAGAAGTTCCTGGTACTATTTGGGGGGCTGGAACTACTACAGGAATGTCCGCTCGCTCGGCCCTCTTAACCACCATGTCTCCACTGAGAGAGCGGAGTCGGAGGAAGGTTCCTTGGTGTCCTTCTGCGTCTTCTTCTTCTTGTGTAACCTTGTGTGTATTGGCGGTTAATACAGCATTACCGCCACCTAGTGGATTGGAAGCTCATTACACCTATAATGGGCTTTTATTGGCAAAAATAGCTCAAATGCGACCCCCAGTGGTAAAATTAGGTATATAATTTGATATATCGGTTCGGTTAGATATTTGGCTTTAAATCAAACCGGTTGGAAAATTTTCAAACTGGCACAAGCCTAGACTGCACATCTTGTCCTCCTACCGTATCTGTCAAGCGGATTGGTACCGTGAACAGCTGTTTGATTTTGCAGATTTGACCTACTTTCTCTCCTGCCGTTAAACTTTGTGTAGTAGTGTAGTGCATCAGCCCCCCTCTGTGGCGTATTATCGCCAAAGATCCTCTTCAAGGCAGCCTTCATGTTGTCAAACGTGAGGCCTGGACAAGCGGTGAGCGCCAACTGTTTGTCTTTAACATTAAGTCCCGCAGTGTCTAGCAGCTTGAATGCTAACACCGCATCTGGAAGCTCCATTTTGAACTGGCGAATTCTGTTGTACCTCCGTTCAGACTCAACAATGTAATCCACCATCGAAGCGCCATTGTCTCTTGTTATCCGGTCAAACTCTGTGTACGCCTCGTATTGGCAGTCCTTTTCCTCTTTCAAAAACACAGAGTCCCAGTTTTATCAGAAGTGTAGTCATTCCATCATCTTTATTCAAATCCCCTGCGGCTATTTCCAGCGCGCTGTCCCTCGCTCTTCCTGTTAGCGACAAGGCAACTGCCAAGGCCTGCTTCTTCTTATCCAAGTCAGTAAACAGTCCCCAGATTTCGACCTCATTTTTCCAGCTTTCGTATGATTTCTTCTCATCAAACGCTGGCGAAACTTTATAATTACCAGCGGCCACCTTCTGCTACCATTGTTAGCTCAGTAACTACGACGACAACTGTATGTTTCAAGACTTTACTCAAACTTCAGCACGACAATAACAACGACAGCCTCCGCACTTCCTCACTCAGAACACACATGTAATTCACACATGCGCAGTGGGAAACATAGCACATAACAGCTGTTTCCTGTTTATCCACGACCAGTTGGTCGCACGTGCGGCGTTATCAACAGCTCCTCCCACAAGTTATCAATAGCTCCTCCCGTTGCGGAAGGCCACCTCTGTCTGTTTAAACTTAAAGGGTTCCGCCAATATGACTACCCTATGAGGCGGAAAATTGGGCACCTCGGATCAACTCGCCAATCTGGCTCTGTGTGTCTAAATTCTCGCAGCTTGCTGGCAAAACAGCCCAACATTCGCAGAAAATCTGGCACTGTAAAAGGGGCTTCAGTCTCTGGCGCAGGTCAGCGTGGCACGGCGTGTCTGATAATGGAAAAGCAAATCGGCGCAGCATGGCTTGACTCGGCACAACCAAAAGTAACAGTGGAAGAGGCCCATTAGTCAGATAAAGCCAAGCTGTTTAGTGCACTTCATACAAAAACCTGCACCCACTGGGCCCTTGTATAGATATATGTTTGTATATACAGGGCCAGGAGAGACCATTATTTTTCAATAATTCTTTGAAAATAGAAACAGAGATAGGAAGATGAACAGTGACACTATTTAATTGACATGATAGCAGTCCACATTAACGCCTTTTCTAAAAATAACTTTGTCATATTTGCTGAAACTGTCACTAAATCTATATAGTATTACAAATATGAATTAAGATTTTGTTACTGTGTTGTCTTTTTCTCACCTCAAATATTGTCAGAAACATATTTAAGTTGCTGTTTAGCTGTAAAATGAGAACTTGGTCCAGTGCTTGGTACTCTGGTTGACTTTTCCAACACAGTGGCCGTATCATTAAAGCAAAACATGTTGTCCATTGCTTTCTCTTTGGGCAGTGCTGATCAAATGCAACTGGATTGCCTATTTCTCATATAAAATGATTTCAGAAACACATTTTAGTGTTCTGTTTAGCTGTAACATGATAATGTTGGTCTGGCCAGTGGGTGGTGCTTGGTGCTTTGCTCGACTGTTTCCAACATGTAGTTACATTCAGTGACAGAATCTAGGGATGCACCGAAATGAAAATTTGTGGCCAAAGCTGAAGCCGAATAAAATTAAACACTTGGCCGAATACCGAATACCGTTGTTTAGTTTTTCATTAGTTTTTGCAGATGAACCCCCTCCAGATTAGTGTTGTAACGGTACCAAAATTGGGACCCACGGTACGATACCAGTGAAAGTATCACGGTTCTGAGTAGTATCAGGATACCACAGCAAAAATGAGGCAGATGTGCCTTTTGTCATTTATAAAAAGATAAATCACTTTTCTATAATACATCAATGATATTTCAATGGAATAAATTACTTATTGACTTATTCATACTTCAAAAACGGCATCAATAAGTGATTAACACAGCGGGGATCAAAATAAAATAAAAAAATAAAATTAAAAACCAACCAGCCACCCTCCTCCCCTGACAAGTAAAGAACAGTCCCTAAAGTGCAGTGAGGTTTGTGGGCCGTTACCTGCCACAAAGAGAGAAATGTGAACGGCTCGTTTCTCCTCTGACACGTCACATACCTGTGTGGCGCCACGACTCGGCTGTCCAGGTCTTTTTGGGCAGTCATGACGCCAAGAAGAGGAAATTATTGGAGCCGGACTTCTCCGTCGCCGGTAAGCCTATGGCCGCCGTATTTGACAGGAATACATTCCTGTCCGTATCTGTGTCCCCCGTTCAACCCACAACCGGTGGGATTCGCCTTTAGTTCCTGCTGCTGGTTGAAATCTGTACTCGAACAGCGTGCTGAATGATTTATTTTGCTTGAACAAAACTATTTTAGTCGCAAATCCGAGTGCGTTGACGGATGGAGTAAAATATCGCCACACTGCTGACATTTTACTCCATCCGTCACAGCACGCTGTATAATTGCGTTATCAAAACACGCCACTATTATTCGGCCTTGCTTTTCACTTATTCCACCGAATACCTAATGTCTGTGTTTTTTACAATATTCGGCCAAATATATTCGGTTACCGAATATTCGGTGCATCCTTAACAGAATCTTGATCAATATTTGATCAGCGCTGCCTAGTTGGACATTTTGACTGCAGTTCACGAGAAGTAACTGGCATGACTGACTGAATCATTTTCATGATTCTTGCATATGCCATTAGAAGCACTATATGAGGAGGCAAGAGGGTAACTGTTTCATTTAATACTGTATAGTATTAATATATTATAGTGTCAGTTTCAGCAAATATAACAAAAAATATCTTCATAAAAGTTACCAACTGTAGCTTTAATCCAAGCAAATTGCAGGTGACTGACCAGTAACAAGTTGCACTCACCTGCACCTCTGCACTCTTGTGTCTGATGGCCTCCTCTGTCTCCCTGATGTCCTGCTCCAGAGTGTACTTCTCCCTAAAACACACACACACACACACACACACACACACACACACACAAACACAACAAATGCACACAAAGGCGCATACAAACACACACAAGCATAATTAGAACAGAAAAAGAACCAAATAACTAAAAACCTCCTGCTGTGTACACTCAACTTGTCAGAGTAACAAGATACTGGACTGGGATTCTATCAAATCCATAGTGTCACAGGCAAAAAGTTTAAAAAAAAAAAAGTGACAGTAAAAAAAAAAAGAAGAGCTGCTGGCAACTGCGTGTCTGGGACCTGATAAAAAAATTAGTGTGCCTTTCTGCATTATTTCAGATGAATTATTTAAATCAGTGCAATTGCAAAGGGCTATAATAATAACAATGTGTATCTTCTTATAAGATTTGTGCGTAGATTGGTGGAAATAAACTTAAAGTGTGCAACACTGAGAGTTCCACAAAGCAAAAAAATACTGATTCTTTATGGTCCGTGAACAAGATGTTATGTTCTGCTAGCATGTTGATGAAATGGTACTGTTTGAGTCCATACATTTTTTCTGTGGGTTTAGCCTAGTGTTCTTTAAAATACACAGCATTTGATTCTATCTGAGGACAATACTGTGTTGTGCTGTAGAGCAGCACAATATTTATCTTGGTATGACTCTATGCAAGTGTCATTAACTACTAACTATCCTCTGCATGTACATAAAGGATGGAATTTAGTAGTCAGACTCCTTCAACGATAGGTCTATAATTTTTTAAGTTTGTCTAAAAACAACAGTCAGATGCCAAAATGTAAATTGAAGCAGGGTTTGCTCCTTTAATGTAAGTGATGGGGGACAAAATCCATAGTCTTCCTTCAGTGTAAAAATGCATTCCACTGCTACTCTGAAGTGAATGAGGCTGCAGCAGTTTGTGTAAAGGCTCATTTATATTCCCCTTGTGTACAAAAACAGATAAGTCCACTTCAAAAATTGTAAACGTCACTGCCTTCATACTTTCAAGTATCTTTTACGATGGCATAGATACAGCCACTAGATTGCACTAGAGGGCAGAGTCAAAAGTTTCACACAACAACAAACGAGGGGATGGTGTTCTGTGTGGCCATTATATAGATCCTGACATGTGGACAGAGAATTCTTTTAACTATATCACCAATTCATTCCGTTCCGCCATTATTTAAATTTCTCCCGTGGTCGAATCTCGCTACACTGCCTCCAACATCTCTGGTGGTGCAGCTCCATTTTGCCTGTATCCGTTAGCTTTTAAAAAACGTGCACAAATACAAACCAAATAAATGCAGAGTGCAGACAGAAGGCTCCATATGTCTCTGTATCTAACAAACATAAATGAGCTCTTAGATGTATCAAGTGGGTATCTTTCAAAAGTAGTCTTTTTACTACAAATATCCCTCTTTCCTTTCCTTGTTTAGCTGCAGTGGACAGATAGTAACACAAAAAGGAACTTAAGTATTAAAAAGATGGAAACTTTGGAGGATATTCACATGATTAGTCTCAGTGATTCCCCTACCATTATATTAGTGGGTAGTTCATTTTATTTAATTTTATTTTCTATATGGCGCCAGATCACAACAGAGGCGCACACACACAGGTGAGCACACTCCCACCCTCAGACAGAGAGCGTGCGTCAGAAAATATGTTGCGTCAACCAACCAACCAACCTGAAAAGCAGACAAAAATATATGCGTTTTTTAAGAAGGTGAAGAAGAAATGTTTTCATGTTTAGTACAATGTACAGTTCAAATAATTGCTCAGTTGTCATTAAAAGAAACATATGAACACCATGATTCCTTTAAGTGTTTGTAACCCCCCCCCCCCCGTAAACCTAGGGAAAACACTGAGTCTAATACCCTTTTTCCCACAAAAAATTGGCACGTGTATGCAGGTGTTTTTCAACACAAGAAACCCCACAAAAAAAATAGGCAATATATTCCTTTACTGTTGCCAGTAGACCAGAGTTCTGAAGTACACCAACAAGTCTTTCTGTTTTTTTTGGTATTTTTCCCTAGTGTGTCCACAGATTTAGATGGCGCCTTTTTATTCCAATGTAATTACTTGCCTGACACTTACAGCAAAATAAGCTTCTAGCTTCCGGGTTTACATGCAGTATGCTTCCCATTAAATATGCACAGTAGTGTTTCTCCCACTGGCCCCGCCTGCAAGTTCCCGCTCAGCTCGTAGACTTAAAAATGGTAAATGGTAAATGGACCTGCACTTGTATAGTGCCTTTCTAGTCATCTGACCACTCAAAGCACTTTTTACACTATGAGTCACACGCACCCATTCACACACACATTCACACAGGCTCCCATACAAGATGCCAACTGCTGCTCAGTTTTTTAATACACTTACACACCGATGGAACAGCCATCAGGAGCAATTTGGGGTTCAGTATCTTGCTCAAGGATACTTTGACATGGACACTGGAGGTGCTGGCTGATCTTCCGATTGGTGGACAACCCGCACTACCTCTGAGCCACAGCCACCCCAATGTGATGACATCACAGATTTTAAAATCACTTTTCTTGTCTCAAGTAAAGTTTAACAAATATAAAACCTCCATGGATCAAATTTTTTATTGAAAGAGTCATAACTGACCTTGTTTGCAGCTTGAGGAATCCTTTCTACAGTTTATTTTGGTGGTCTATGGGGAAAATACTTTTTGGGCTGCTTATTGCAATATCACGAATGGCCACTGGGGAAAATTGGAAACAGGCTGAGCTGTGTTCCTGGGGACCTGGGTGTGTCACATTCAACCTCATGGATGGGCCGGAAAACAATTTAGTAAACAGTAGAAAGCAGCATGTAGGCCAGTGAAAATGTTACGGCAGTTGCTTCTTTTTCTATGTCTTATTTCTTCAGTTTCTCTCTCTCCAACTAAATTTGATCAATGTTCGAGCACTGCTTAGACAGAGACCAACAGTATTTTGTGGCAGCCTGTCTTTGCATCGCACTGGCAAATGGGCTAGAATCGGGGCTTTCACATAGTTGTTGTATTGAAGTTGATGGGAGCTGAAGCCAATAAACACTCCTGACTACTGCAGAGTCATTTGACCCCGGAGTGCAAGCTGAATGTAACCTTTCCCATTTAAATAAAATAGCCAAATGTAAGCAGGTGTTAGTGGGTTTTTGTGCAGTGGGAAATGGGCTTAACACATATTGCTGAAGCCTCATATTAGCTTTAGATAAACTTTTTTGTTTTTATACTGAACAAAGACTGTAGATGTTTCTCCCCTTCACTTGCATTAAAAGTGTTTTGGGAACTGCTCTCTTCAGTGCCTGTATGAAAAGAAGGAATGACTACCACAAGCAAAATCTGCTTCACTGTTTACATGGGCACCTGGACATTGTTTGAAGACATGACTTCAAAAATTGCGAACCTATTCTTTACCACACTCTGCATCTTGACCACAGTCATGAAGGTGATAAAACAATCAAATGTGAGTATATGTGACGTCAACTCATAAACCAAGAAAAGAAGGAGGCAGAATCACTGCTTACTGTCTGTGTGTCATAGTAGATTAGACAGAATGCCAGTCCATGGATGTTCAGTAGCTGTTGTGTTTACCTGAGAGTATTCCACTGGGTAAAGGCAAGAGTGCTGACGCAGCATGGAGAATAAGTGGTGAACAAACAAAAATTTGATAAAATACACACATCAAAAGAAGTGTGGGTGGTTGGCTGGATGGATGGATGGATGGGTGGATGGATGCATGGATGGATGGATGGATGGAAGGAAGGAAGGAAGGAGGAAGAAAACAGTTGATTGAGATGAAGCCAAGATGAGAAATAAAGCTCATCCATGTTTGATAGTGCATGTTTCCTTTTTACGTGTGCATTTTATCAGAAAAACAATTGGACCATAGGAATATAGTATAAACAGAGCTAAGGGTATTACGGGGTTAGCTGTGGGCTGCAGGTAACTTTAGCTGCTGTATGGGACAATTCACATAAATTTATCCACTAATCGATCAGTCTGAAGACACTGAGGGTCTCTGTTGGCTAAGGGCCGTCTTGACACAACTGGGAAATTCTTGGTTAATAAGGCCATCTCAGGGCTTATGCTGAAACATTGCTAAATCTAGCTCAAAAGCTTGGTTGGTTTGATTTCTTCATAAAAAATTAAGGAGGATCAACTATACAGCATTTAAGATGCTAAGTTGGCACTGAAGAAGTAATACAATTAATAAAGCAATTCATGATTAAGGATAGGTTTTTAACATTAAAGAGTTTTGGCATTATTGCAGTCTTTGGACGTTATGATCTTAAAAATGTGATGGCGCATCTTTTGCGGTGTATGCTGAAAATGATAAATGATTTTATACTGAGGTTAAGTCTAACATGTCTTCTTCACGTCTTTTATTGTCAGAAAACCAGCTTAGAGGTGCAATGTCAAGTTCTATTACAACAAAATTAAATAAAGTACTGTTATAAGAAAGTTAAATAAAACAATTAAATAAATCAAAGCAGAACCACTGCTGCTTTTTTTTTAAGCACCCGGCTCATATCAGGTGGAAGTGTTGATATTTTTGCTGTGAACCTGAAGCTATCAGTCAACAGTTAGGTGTTAGCAGTTAGTAGCAGGGATGTCACGATACCAAAAATTCAGTCGTCGGTGCCGATACCAGTAAAATTACACGATTCTCGATACCAAAGTCGATACCATGGTAAAAAAAAAAAAAAATCCTAAGATCCCATGTACTTAAACAAGAAATACTTTATTAAAATATATGCATATAAAATAACATTTCTATCAACAGATTGATATTACTTATGTTTTTTCTTTTTCTCTTTTCGTCTTTACCTATTTTTCGTTGTAAAAAAACATTGATCAACATCCACAATAAACTATTTAAATATTTACTATTTAAATCATGCTGACAGCATTTGAGCCAACCACAAGAATGTGTGAAATTTTGTTGGTTTCATTTACTGTTTGTCCTGTCCCAGTGCAAACGTCCATGGTCTAGTTGTGGAAAAATCAAACATCCCAGTACAATAAATCAAACGCACCCCAACCACTGTGTTTCGGAGGTAGACGTACATGCGCAGTCACGCACTGCTGAGAGTGAAATCCCTGGTCGTTACCTCACACGCAGCTTGTTCAAGCTGTTCTCTGTGTTGTTGAAATTGAACAAAATAACATGGAACATATCTGCTTATTATGCTACTGATTTTAATTGCGATATTTTTTGATGAACTGAATGACATTTAATGGAGTGTTGCACGTCTCGAAGGCTGGGCTCATAGGAGACCACCGGACTCTCTCCCAGGGGAGGGGCTGGGAGAGAGAGGGAGATGTCCAGGCAAGGCTCAGTCCAGCATGGACCAAAACCCAGCACGGACGGTTCAGAAGCAATTCGGAACGAGTTAAAAGCAATTAATAAACAGACAAAGTGGTGTTTAAAAATGCATATATTGCTAGCAGATCTATTTTCTGGCCTAAAGTGCAGCCGTGACTGGTTCTGAATGTGGGCTTTAGCAGGCAGCCACTCTCTCCTCTTCCTGGTACTGCGTAGTTCCGCCACTGAATCTTTTAATGGTACACAGTACCGGACTGTACCAGCTTACTTTCACCCTTGGTAGGTATGCCATGTGTAGTTCTACCTCCCCGTCACCCCCTCACTCTGAATGTAGGCATGGACTGTAACACTATATGGCGTACACTGCCCCCATCAATTCCGGAAGAGTCATAGCATCGATTCTTACGCGGTATCAGTTCTTCCGTTTTTTCAAAAAAATGAGTATTGCCAGGGTTTTTTCATCATGGAATTGAAAGGTATCGCGAGTATCGGTTCTCATGACATTACTAGTTAGTTGCAAGGTAAACTGTTACCACGGTGCCTTTAATCATGAGTATCTATTTACTGTGGGCTAAAAACAATCTAACAGCTTTTCAGTTCATATATTATTAGTCTTTGCAAGTCGCACCAATGTCACAAAACGACATTAAATAGCCCTGCAGATACAAAAACACACGCCTCGCCTGCTCATACCATCATTAAACTCATTAAGTTCAACTGTGACCGCGGCCCCATTAAACATGATGATTTATTCACTGTAAGCTGAAAACAAACTAACAGCTCTCCACTTCATAACAATTTGCAAGATGCTCTGGTCCTCTGCAGATACAAAAACACACGCTTTGCCTGCTCAAACACTATCGCTCAGGAAAAGTGGTCTGGATGGACAGAGGAGTGTGTGTCTCGTTTGTGAGTCTTTCTTTTTGTGTGTGTGTGACTAAGAGAGGGACAGAGCCACTGGAGAGAGCGAGAGAACTGACACGCCAAAGTGGGTTTTATGCTGGTGGCCTTGAAAAAATGGCGTGACCATTTATACTCAATGTTTGGGATATAGTTACTTTAAATTGTTTGTTACCTCTGCAACTGGGCTATCTCCTGGCTGATGTCATCCAACTCCTTGATGCCAGTGAACTCCCCAGAACCTACTGAACTAGAGCTGTCCTGTAGAGGAAGACACAGACAGACAGAGAGGGACAAGACAAAAAAGACGAGGTTGGCAAAGTAACTGAATTTTTTGAAGAAGTAAAGTGAGATAATGAAATGGTGCCAAGTGAGCCACAGCAGACCAGGCCAAAGGCGGGAGAAGGGGGAAAAGAGAGGATAGGAGAGAAACCAATGCTCAATAAGAGGAGCAGCAAAGTGGCTCAATCAGTAGGTGGGGGCTGGGATCACCAACATGTGGGGGAGCGTTATCACCATTGACAAACTGCCAATGACAGGAAAGATTCAGGATTTTTGTAGTTGTATGGCTAATATTCAGCCCCCCTGAGAACATTTAAAGTTATCATAAAGGTGGTTTTCAGAAGTTCCAGTATCTTGTCCACTAGAATTTGCTGGTGATGCTAGTCCAAGAGTGTGGAGACATTTCTTGAAAAAACAAAACAAACAAACAAGAAAAATATTCACAATCTTATCCTTTATTCACCAGGAGCACTATGCCACTTATCTGAGGTACACAGGATGCTCTTGATTTAATTGATTGAACTTTTATTCATGCCAGAGCCGCAATCGACTGTTATTATACAACTGCAGCCACTTTATAAAAATACCATTTTTAAAAGAACCCTGTTTGCCAACTAAAGCAATCTTGAATCTTCCCTTGATCAACAGGCAGCTGACAGGGTGAGACAGTGTCACTGCACTTTACTGAATGGAGAGAAGAGTTTTGCGAATGCTTTCCAGCAATCAGCCTGAACGGCCGCCCACCAAAAGCATTTCTAGGTTAATACACCGTAGGTCTATGTTACCTACCCACAACTTCAACATTATAGCCTGAGAGAGGAGGAAGAAAGGGAAGGTTGATACATCAGCAGTAAAGAGTTAGGGTAAGAGAAAAGAACAGTGGACAGTAAATATCTTCTGATACAACTGATTTACCCCTCCTCCAATTTACATTTTACATGTCTATGTGGGTTACAGTTCACGTTGTCTTTCAGCTAATAAGCTGACTTTGCAGATAGAGAATTTGGTAAAGATCAACAAACAGTATGTCTAGCAGACAAATCCATACACTTTTATGCCTAAATATGCAAAGGGCAGGAGAAATATGAGAGAAGTACTGACTCACCCGTCTCATCTCTGACAGAGCAGCCATCTCTGATCCCACTGGGGTCATATATCCTGACATACTCTGCAGCCAAAGACAAATACTTAGTTACAAACAGTTACAACACATCCTGTGTCAAAAAAGACAGCATTCTGAAATGTCATCAGTACTAAGCAAGTTCCTTGCTCATTTTTTTTGTGTCATCTAATATTAATTAGTACTATTCCTGCTGTGAAAATAAAAGGTAAACAATACTATAAATTACCAGCTAATTTATAGGAACAAACAAGGAAAAAGTTAAAATAATATTTCTATGAATGCTTGGATGATAACTAAAGAAATTTAGCATCTTGTTGTCTTCATGCAGCTTCCTTCATTTAAGATATCAAATTTCACAGAAAATACACAAATCCAGAATTTCCAGCTGTGATTTATTGTAAAGCTGGAATACATTGTCTGCCATAATAACTACCATCCCAAAAAGATGAATACACTTTATAAAATAAAACATTATCCCTGGGAAGAAGAGCAGTGGTGCTATCTATGCAGCAAAGGACAGCTGAGTGTGGCTTTGATTTAAACCCAGTTCAGGCAAATGATTTGTGACATGACAACAGCATTTCATAACATTGCAGAGAGAAGTTGCAGCACTGTGTACTGGCTGATCTGAGCTCAACTCAAGCCAGCTGATGATGTCAACTGCAGCTCAGCTGGTCAAATCGCTGGCGGCTGGTTTTAGAACGTAAAGTATTTCACCTGTTTCTACAGCCAGCCAGCTTGTAATGAAGTCCACTGGTCAAGTCAAAATGACCACAAACAGTGTGTTCACTTGCTGCAGCAGGTGCTCCGTCCCTGCCGAGTTTCCATAAAGTAAAATTACATCAGATTTGACATTGTCATAATCAAGGTCATTCTGAAGAGGCGTCCACTGAATATTTAAGCAAAGCTATTAAGAAATTTTTGATGACGAGTCATACCTAAGCAAATTATATTGGTTATAATGTAAAATGAGCTAACTTTCACCTTATTTCTTCCAAAACTGTACAGTGAAATAACATTCCCTCGCTCTACTCCGAGTCCCTCCCGGATGTCCGAGCTCCTCACCCTATCCCTAAGGCTGAGCCCAGCCACCCTGTGGAGGAAACTCATTTCGGCCGCTTGTACTCGCGATCTCATTCTTTCGGTCACTACCCAGAGCTCGTGACCATAGGTGAGGGTTGGAACGTAGATTGACCGGTAAATTGAGAGCTTCGCTTTCTGGCTAAGTTCCCTCTTCACCACAACGGACCGGTTAAGCGCCTGCATCACTGCTGACGCCGCCCCAATCCGCCTGTCAATCTCCCGCTCCATCCTACCCTCACTCGTGAACAAGATCCCGAGATACTTAAACTCCTCCACCTGAGGAAGGACCTCCCCCCTGACCTGGAGTGGGCAATCCACCCTTTTCCGGCTGAGGACCATGGCCTCAGACTTGGAGGTGCTGATTCTCATCCCAGCCGCTTCACACTCGGCTGCGAACCGCCCCAGCGAGAGCTGGAGGTCACTGTTCGATGGAGCTAGGAGGACCACGTCATCCGCAAAAAGCAGGGACGAGATCCTCCCGTCACCGAACCTGACACCCTCCACCACTCGGCTGCGCCTAGAAATTCTGTCCATAAAAGTTATGAACAGAACCGGTGACAAAGGGCAGCCCTGGCGGAGTCCAACCCTCACCGGGAACAGGTCCGACTTACTGCCAGCCACGCGAACCAGACTCATGCTCCTTCGGTACAGGGACTGGATGGCCCTTAGCAAGGGGCCACCAACCCCATACTCCCGGAGCACCCCCCACAGGATGCCCCTGGGGACACGGTCGTAAGCCTTCTCCAAATCCACAAAACACATGTGGACTGGTTGGGCAAACTCCCATGCCCCCTCCAGCACCCTGGCGAGGGTAAAGAGCTGGTCCACGGTTCCGCGTCCGGGACGAAAACCACATTGCTCCTCCTCAATCTGAGGTTCAACTATCGACCGGACCCTCTTCTCCAGCACCCTGGAGTAGACCTTACCGGGTAGGCTGAGGAGTGTGATCCCCCTGTAGTTGGAACACACCCTCTGGTCCCCTTTCTTGAAAATGGGGACCACCACCCCGGTCTGCCACTCCAGAGGCACTGCCCCCGATGTCCACGCAATGTTGCAGAGGCGTGTCAGCCAGGACAGCCCTACAACATCCAGAGCCTTGAGATATCCAGGATGAATCTCATCCACCCCTGGGGCTCCGCCGCCTCGGAGTTGTTTCACTACCTCGGCAACTTCTGTCCCAGAAATTGGACGACTCACCCTCGAGACCCCCCTCTCTGTTTCCTCACTGGAATACGTGTTGGTGGGATTGAGGAGCTCCTCAAAGTATTCCTTCCACCGCCCGACAATGTCCCCAGTTGACGTCAGCAGCTCCCCGCCCCCACTGTAAACAGTGTGAGCAAGTTGCCGCCTTCCCCCCCTGAGGCGCCGGACGGTTTGTCAGAACCTCTTTGGAGCCGATCGATAGTCTTCCTCCATGGCCTCACCGAACTCCTCCCACGCCCGAGTTTTTGCCTCCACGACTGCCGCCGCTGCACTCCACTTGGCCCGCCGGTACCCATCAGCTGCTTCCGGAGACCCACAGGCCAACCATGCCCTGTAGGCCTCCTTCTTCAGCCTGACGGCTCCCCTCACCTCTGGTGTCCACCAGCGGGTTCGGGGATTACCGCCGCGACTGGCCCCAGGGGCCTTGCGGCCACAGTTCGCAACCGCCGCCTCGACAATGGCAGAGCGGAACAAGGCCCATTCGGACTCAATGTCCCCCTCTGCCCTCGGGACGCGGTCGAAGCTCTCCCGGAGGTGGGAGTTGAAGATCATCTGGACAGGGTCTTCTGCCAGGTGCTCCCAGCAGACCCTCACTATTCGTTTGGGCCTGCCAGGTCTGCGCGGCGTCTTCCCCCGCCATCTGATCCAACTCACCACCAGGTGGTGATCAGTTGACAGCTCTGCTCCTCTCTTCACCCGAGTGTCCAGAACATATGGCCGCAGGTCAAATGATACGACTACAAAGTCAATCATTGACCTGTGACCTAGGCTGTCCTGGTGCCACGTGCACCGATGGACATCCTTATGTTTGAACATGGTGTTAGTTATGGCCAAACTGCGACCCGCAAATAAGTCCAATAACTGAACACCACTCGGGTTCAGATCGGGCAGGCCGTTCCTCCCAATCACGCCCCTCCAGGTCCCACTGTCATTGCCCACGTGAGCGTTGAAGTCCCCCAGCAGAACAATGGAGTCCCCAGTCGGGGCACTGTCCAGCACCCGTCCCAGGGACTCAAAAAAGGGCGGGTACTCTGAACTGTTGTTCAGCGCATAAGTGCAGACAACAGTCAGGACCCGTTCCCCCGACCCGAAGGCGCAGGGAAGCAACCCTTTCGTCTACCGGGGTAAACCCCAACGTACAGGCAGAGAGTCTGGGGGCTATCAGAAAGCCCACCCCGGCCCTCCGCCTCTCACCCGGAGCAACTCCAGGGAAGGAGAGAGTCCAACCCCTCTCAAGGACCTGGGTTCCAGAGCCGGAACTATGTGTCGAGGTGAGGCCGACTATATCTAACCGGTAGCGCTCAACCTCTTCCACAAGCTCCGGCTCCTTCCCCGCCCTCCGGCTCCTTCCCTGCCATCCCAAGAACCAACTTCTGTAGCCGAGGATCGGACCGCCAAGGCCCCCGCCTTGGTCTGCTGCCCAATCCACATAGCACCGAACCCTTCTGGATCCCTCTGCGGGTGGTGGGCCTGCAGGGGGATGAGCCCATGTAGCCAGTTCGGGCTGGGCCCAGCCGGACCCCATGGGCGAAGGCCCGGCCACCAGGCGCTTGCCCACGGGCCCCAACCCCAGGCCTGGCTCCAGGGCGGGGCCCCGGTAACCCTCCGGGCCGGGTACACGAATCCTTGTTTTTATCCATCATGAAGGGTCTTTTGTAGCCTGACGTGCACCTCCCAAAAAATGTAACTACACGTCGAGGCGACGCAGACCCAGCGCAGACCGAGAGGGCTGTCATTGGTTTGCTTGGTAGCAATGCATTTCCGGTTCCGTATTTCCAGATTGCGCCATCCCCGCCATCTTTAAACATCTTCTGTTGCAATGTAGATGTTGCAGTATTAACATACTTTCTTACACATCCAACAACTCCAGCTCCAGCAAGATTCTCTCTCTCTCGGTCGCCATTGTTCACTGTGACCGGAAAAGCCGGAAGCTAAACAAAGAATCAACTAGAGACGACGATAACCATTCAGGAAAGGAATGCAGCCCCCTACCACTCTGGCGGTGAATTGCACCGCGAAGAAATGGAGTGACGGAGAAGTTCAAAGGGTTCACGACGGCGTCACGGCAACGACGTAGGTACGTCGGTAGGTACGCCGCAGGACCATAAATCAGGCTTTAGAATCTATCTGTGCTGGTGGGGTGGGGGTAGGGCTGGGCACCGTGAGGATATTATATCGTTATCAAGATGTAAGAATATAAATCGTGATATAGCATAGAAATATTGGGACATAATTTTAAGAACAAATCGCCCAACCCTAGCAGCACTGAAGGACCATCTCTGTGAGACGCTATCTGCCCGGTTTGCACAAGCTAACACAGCACAACGTAATCTAATCACTACTCGTCATATTTTGTCACTTGGGCAGAAGCCCCACAGCACCAATTAACATCCAACACTGAGCTGCTCATCTCACACTGACACTGAAACAGCTTGACTCTGTCGTTTAACCCAATAACTGTTGGGTATCGTTAGATTTGTGATGCTAACAGTTAGCTCTGTCACTGTGTGTGACTCTGTCCAGGCACAGAACTCTAGTGGCATTATAAACAGTGAGGAGAGAGAGAGAGAGAGAAAGAGAAAGAGAGACAGAGAGAGAGAGAGAAGAACATGGCAACATCACAATATCCTGGAGGGGCTGATCCATAACACTTTACAATTTACACACACACTCACACATGGATCGCAGTGAGTTATCATACAAGGTACTGGACTGACCATCAGGAGCAATTTGGGATTAAGGACGCTGAGGATGTGGGGATCAAACCACCAACACTAACATTAGCGGGCGACCTGCACTACCTCCTAAGCCCCATGAAATACATTAACTCACAGATATACAGTTTGTGAGTGTGGGACTCACTGGTACAGGAGTGCCTCTCTCTGACGGGGGAATCATTTCAGGAGTCAGGGCCTGTGGAGGGTCGATTCCCTTGCTGACTTTCTGCTGGATGAGATACATGGCGAGGGCAAATTGCTCCCTGGTCAGCTTGCCTATCTGCCTTGTGTCTGCCAGAGCCCTGCAGGGAAGAGCAGACATTCAACAGAGACACATTTCCTTTATTCCATTATACTGAGCAGAATGACCAGACTGACATGGCATCACAAAAATTAAAAGAAAAAGAAGAAGACACATACACACACACACACACACACACACACACACACACACACATAAACATAAATATATATTACAGTGAACAAAAATTTAAACGCAACACTTTTGTTTTTGCTCCCATTTTTCATGAGCTGAACTCAAAGATCTAAAACATCGTCTATACACACAAAAGACCATTTCCCTGCCACAATAAAAGGCCACTTTGAAATGTGCAGTTTTGCTTTATTGGGGGCAGTCTGGGGGGGGGGGGGGGGGGTGAGAAAACCAGTCAGTATCTGGTGTGACCACCATTTGCCTCACGCAGTGCAACACATCTCCTTCGCATAGAGTTGATCAGGTTGTTGATTGTGGCCTGTGGAATGTTGGTCCACTCCTCTTCAATGGCTGTGTGAAGTTGCTGGATATTGGCAGGAACTGGAACACACTGTCGTATACGCTGATCCAGAGCATCCCAAACATGCTCAATGGGTGACATGTCCGGTGAGTATGCTGGCCATGCAAGAACTGGGATGTTTTCAGCTTCCAGGAATTGTGTATAGATCCTTGCAACATGGGATGGGGCCATGCATTATCATGCTGCAACATGAGGTGATGGTCGTGGATGAATGGCACAACAATAAGCCTCAGGATCTCGTCACGGTATCTCTGTGCATTCAAAATGCCATCAATAAAATGCACCTGTGTTTGTTGTCCATAACATACGCCTGCCCATACCATAACCCCACGGCCACCATGGGCCACTTGATCTACAACGTTGACATCACTAACACAGATTTAGACAGATTTGTGAACAATATTTGTAAGAAATGGTCTTTTGTGTATACAGAAAATGTTTAGATCTTTGAGTTTAGCTCATGAAAAATGGGAGCAAAAACAAAAGTGTTGCATTTATATTTTTGTTCAGTGTATATACAGTAAATACTGGTAAAGCTAATGGTACCACTTTCTAATAAGTCAACCTTCTCTACAGTAGAAATATGTAAATACTTTTGAAACTGGTGCTACAGAACCAGAGACAACAGAGAAAAAAGATGCCTTGACTCAAGAGGGAGAAAATATACAAGGATGCATTGTGCAGCACCAGACCAATAAATGCTTCCGCTGGTGGGTGATGTAATGCAAACACGTCTGTTTGAAACAATGGCAGCTGGTTGGCAAGAAACATGTTTCAGCCTCCATTTTCACTGTGCATGTAACAGTATGGCACCCACTTCTTGTTCTCAAACTCTTGCAATCACAGGGTATCTGGGCACTGGTTAGATAATGGGAGGTTTACCACAGTTTATGTACACATACTTACCATCATTATTTTGATACAAAACTGGTTGAAAAGTGAAAAATCTATTTATTAACTGCACTAATAGATTACTAATGTTAAGAACAGCATGATCACCAAACACAAAGGAATTTTTTCTCAGCCTGGTGAGTACAAATGTGTTTTAATTATTGGTTTATAACTGATCTTCAATTTATTACGCATTAATAAAGCCATTAGTTACAACTTAAGAACTTAAAATTAAGACCGACTTTCTTATTGATTGTTACCAAGCCAATAATAAGCCTAGCCAAGAAATAAAACATATCATATATTAACTGTGAAGCATGAAACATGAGTGAAAGACTGTCTGAGCACCTACCATATATGGGCGAGGACATTCTGAGTAAGTCCAGACTGCATGAAGATCTCCTTTACTTCATGTCCACTGACAAAACCGTCCAGATCAGCATCAGTCTTCAGGAAGATGTCGTCATAGCGACTGCGGTCTGACACTGAGACCACCCAGTTCACTGAATGCTGAGATAGAGGTAAAGGAGATGCATATGTTATAAAACCTCAGAGTAATTAACCTTACTAAAAGTCCTAGAGAGCTTCCACTCTTTAAGAAATCATTTTTCAGGACATGTTTAACAAATGTAAGATTGTAATTTTTTACTCTGGAAGTCAATAAGGCTTGGGGAATGCTACTGTAAAAATCCCTAACTAATTTCCCCATTCAATGTCTTTTTGTAACAATAAGCGTTAATCAGTAAAACTAAGTAATCAAGTATAACATTGGCAAAGGACGTTAAGCTCAGGAATGTTGGATTTATTTTATTTATTTATTTTTTTGTGCAAAATTTCAATATAAAAAAGCAGATCTTTTGGCAATGAACTTGTTTGGGGGGAAATACACATGAAACAGCCATACTAAGTTTTATGGCATGTTTTGAATTGAAGTATGCCCATTTAATTGAATTCTAACCATGCACTGCATTCAGCAGCACACTCCTCCATCACACGTACATATACTTTGCCACCATCCAATTTAAAATGAATTTACTAAATTACAACCCTCTGCATCCTAAGTGCATTCTCCCATCACATGTGCTGTCACGTTACTGCCAACACTACTGCACTGTGTAAGCCAAAGCACTACATGCATGTTAACCAGCAGTAGCCTAAGGTAAAGTACACAGTTTATAACTAACAGTCACAACTAACAGTTTTTAACTATCTGAAACACTCCACTTCAGCTTAAGTACCATAAGAGATGCTTATCAGTTCTATAGCCTGTTGTGACCTGTTGCCTTTTGGGAAAGTGTTTGTTAAGTGTTCGTACAGTGTAATACACAAGTGTCTGAAAAGTCCTTTATTTTAGTTTACCAAAGTAGCCAGTGGTCCGATCCCTCAGTCTTTGACACTTGCACCATTGTCTGTACAAAATAAATGAAATGTATCCTTTTGCATCTGGGTTTTTTTCTGCCATACAGAATTGTACAGTTACACCCCTATTCAGTACAACCCTGATTCTAAAAAGTTGGGGCTCTGTGTTGAACATAAATAGAAACAGAATGCAATGATTTGCAAATCTTTTTTGACCTGTATTCAACTGAATACAGTACAAAGACAAGGTTTGTCATGTTCAAACTGATACACTTTGTTATTTTTTTGTAAATATAAACTCATACTGAAGTTGATGCCTTCAACATGTTTATAAAAAGTTGGGACAGGGGCATGTTTACCACTGTGTGACATCATCATTTCTTTTAACAACACTCAGTAAATGTTTGGGAACTGAGGACACTAGCTGTTGAAGTTTTGAAAGTGAAATTCTTTCCCATTATTGCTTGATATATGACTTCAGTTGCTCAACAGTCAGGGGTCTCTGTTGTCATATTTTGTGCATCAAAATGTGCAACACATTTTCAATAGGAGACAAGACTGGACTGCAGGCAGGGCAGTCCAGTACCTGCATTCTTTTACTACAAAGACACCCTGTTGGATCAGTTAACAAATCAAAAATTTTGCTTAGGCCCACTTGACATGCTGCTATGACCTATTCAAGTGTTATCTGTTATTTATGTGACAACACCTGAACGCAACACCCCGCCGAGTGTGTATACAGTGCCGTGTTGCGGGTTCGAGCCGGGCTGAGTTATAATTGTCTTGGACTCGGTCGGGTTCAGTCAGGAAAATGCGTCCCGAGCCACGCTCTAGTTTGCTCACTTGTGTCTGTGTGTGTGTGCATGTGTCTGTGTGTGTGCATCTGTGCAGAACTCTGCCGTGCGCGATACAGAGAGCAGAGGAGAATTGTAAACACACGACCATGTAGAGACAGAAATGACATGCCATTTCATAAAAGCAGAAGGTATAGACCTGTTCGATAGGAAAGGTAACCTTAAATGACTTCTGTTGTTATCTGGCGCTATATAGAAAATAAAATTTAATAAAACTAACGTGACCTTCGGGGGGGGGGGGTTTGAACATGAAATATCTTTTCTCTGTATTGTATTCAATTAAATGTAGGTCAAAAAAGATTTGCAAATCATTGCATATTTTTATCCCAACTTTTTAGCAATCAGGGTTGTATATAAGCATTGATATCACTACAGAAACATTCGATTAAGTTGTTGAGAGAAAAGTTCAAATTAAGATGAATGACACTCAGCACATGGGCAAGTGTTAATGGACTTTGACAACACATCAGGTGTTATATTGGTTATTTTAACTTAACATCTAATCACTAATCAATGATAATTTAGTGAATAACCAGCTGTGGTCATGTTTGTGTGATCTCTGCATGCTGCTGTGTGTACTCATCAAAGATGGTTTTTGAGGGCAGAACCCTCCATGTTGTCATACCACTGTAATTGTTTCTGTAATTCCAACAACTACCAATGTACCAACAGAGGGGTACTTCTTCTCTCTAACAGATTGTGTCAGTTCAGGAGTTGCTTTCTCACAGTTAATATTTCATTCGTATCACATCAATAATTGTACTTTATAATAATCATAACTGGTGAACCATTATTTTAATCAAGTAACTCGTAGAGAAATAAGGTGGATCAGATTTAGTAGGCTACCGCTGTTATTTCTATGTGTCAGATACAGATGGGAGACAAATTAAAGGAAAATCCTGAATAAGAGAGTGGAGAAGCATATTAATGCCATATGATGACATATGACATAAACAAAATCCTATGGCCTTTACATTCACCAGATCTCAACCCAGTTTCACACTAAGGGTATAACAGCTCTGAAACATGACCGAAGCTGTGCCTGTGACACAAACTTCAGCGGTCTGCATGTTGTGGTTCCATCTTCCCTGTCATGGTCTTCTTATGGAGGAATGGTCTTCATTTCTCCAATAGAGTTTCAATGACTTGTAAAGGCACACTGACTGACTGCTGTTCTGGAGGCTCGTGGTGGCCTGACTAATGTGTCTAAGACACTTCATGTTGGTTTTTCCTTTAAAATAACTTTTACTCACATTTGCTGAAGCTGTCACTATATCCAAACAGCAGGACATGAGACAGATAAGTCTGTGAAAAATAATAATTTTCCTTTGTCTCCTCACAGTACCTTTAATGGCATTTGCAAGAATCTCCTGCATGCGAATGAAAACAACCAATTGGAGCCGAGGAATTTGTAATACAGCTGTCAATCACTGCCCATGAACTGCAGTCAAGCTGTCAAATTAGGATGCACTGATCAAATATGAATCAAGATTCTGTTACTGCATTGCCTATTTCTCACCTCGAAAGTTAGAAACAAATTTTTCTGTACTGTTTAGCTGTAAAATGAGAACATTTGTTACCCAGTAGCCATGTTGAAACAGATGAACCAAAACGAAGCACTGCCCACTTGCTAGAGCAAACATTATCATTTTTAGACTCCATTAGAAGTACTTCGCAGAGCCTGAGGAAAATGTTTTTTTTCACAGACTATTTGTTTCATGCACTACTGTGTGGATATATTGGCAGTTCCGGTGTATTTTGTATTTTTTTTTTGGGGGGGGGGGGTTTTGCCTTTAATGGACAGGACAGTGTAGTGTGAAGGGGGGAGAGACAGAGACGGAACGACACACAGCAGGGGGCTGCAGGCTGGAACCAAACCTGCGGCCGCTGCAGCAAGGACAATGCTTTTGAACATGGGGTGCTTGCTCTATCCACGTAGCCATCGATCATTACATAAAATATCTAATATATTTCATATTGTGTCAAGTCATTAAAACACAGTTTTGGATCCAGCCTAATTTCTAGTTATGGATAATTGTGTGATTACTGATTAAGGTGTATGTACTATGTGTGTACAGTAGTGTATTATTACCTGTCCAGACTTGAGTGTGTGTTTGGGTGACAGGCTACCAGTGCTGTTGAGTGAGTTCATGCTGCCGTGGGACGGTGTTGAGCGTAGTGAGTCTTTTGGTGGTGGAGGGCTTGCAGGTAGCCCTGGCGCAGAGCTGGCCACTGAGCCTAGACTCTTCTTCCTCTTAGACGGAGGAACGAGGGCAGAGGGGAGGAGCGCAGGAACAGGCTCCTTCTCCAGGGCCCGGTACACCAGGTGCATAGCCTAGGGGAACACATCCTGCTGTTAATTCATACTTAGTGGCTGCAAATAAATCTTCTAGAAAACTAATGATGTCCCAAACCAAGTGCTAATACTGATTATATGCCTTGTGACTGATATATCACACTTAGTGGCCACTTTGTTAGGTACACTTGTACACCAACTCGTTAAAATAAATATCTAATCAACACATGCTCAAGAGGTTCAGTTGTTCAGCTCAAACATCAGAATGGGGAAGAAATACGTGACTTTAACCACTGAATGACTAATGGTGCCAAACAGGGTGGTTTGAGTATCTCAGAAACTGCCAACCTCCAAAGAGTTTACAGGGAAGAGTGAGAAAAACAAAACAAAAAAAACTTTCAGTGAGCAGAAGTTCTGTGTTAATGACAGAGGTCAGAGGAGAATGGTCAAATGACGCATCTTCGATTACAGTGGTTCCTCTCAAAACTGGTGGAAGTCTCCAAGGAGCCTGAACCAAACCAGTTGAAGAACCAGAGCTGAAGAAGAACCAGAGCTATCAATCTACGAGAAGGCTGTGAGGGGAATGATCCTGTCAACTTTTTGTCAACTGGTTACTGGCCACCCTGGGACCGAGACACTTCACGGAGCCACTGATAATCGAGCGGGCACACCATGCTCTGGCACCCCATCCACCCGATGACCAGAGGCCGAGACCTGTTTTGATTCACCTACTCAAGTACCAGGACAAGGACAGAATCCTTCGCATTGCCTCACAGCTATCCAGGGAAAAGGGTCCCATCACCTATGAAGGCAAACCAGTAATGTTTTTTCCCGACCTGAGCGCCACCTTAATGAAGCGGAAGAAGGAATACGATCAAGTCAAAAGGGAACTCAGATCAAGGAAAATCCCTTTTGCATTGCTCCATCCTGCAACACTGAGGATTACGCTCCCCGACAGGAAGAGGAGACTATTCAAAGCACCCAAGGAAGCAGCAACGTTCCTGCGTGAGTCCTCAAGTGACTGACAGATCGGATGAAAACCAGAGAACTAGCCACAGTCTGTAAGACTACCACACACCAGTTTAATACTGTCGTCAGTCCTGATATGTTGAAGACACTCTGAATAATTTAAGCTACGGCAGTAGGTTAAGATTTACATTTATTTGCATTTAACTGAGATTGATTGCAGACTAAACCGACTGAGTTAAAGCTAGTGCAATCTCCTTTTTTCTTTGAAATGGGTGTAATTAGCATTTGTTTATTTTTCCCACTCAAAACGGATAATTGCAATCACCAGTCTATGTTTTCAGATAGAGCCCTGGACAGCCACTATGTTGACATGTTTAGTATGTTAGGTGCAAAGTGCACATCCCAGTTTGATAGGGTAAATGGTGCTGAAAGTTCAGTGTTCAAGAGCAGGCACTTAGGTGGGGGGGTGGGAACGTCCTTTTTCTTTTTCCGTTTTGTTTCTTCGTAGTTTTGTATATGGTCAGTGCTTTAGTTTTTTCTACTTGGTTGTTTGGAACACATCTATCACATGAATGGGGTCATATCTTTGTAAAAACATTTGCTGTTGATGCACAGAATAGTGAAATTTGTGAGCTTTAATGTAAATGGATTAAATGGACCGGTCAAACGGAAGAGGGTCCTAACACATTTTTAAAAAACTGCAAATAGATATTGCCTTTATACAAGAAACCTACCTGACACTGCTGGAGCTTAAGAAATTGAGGAGGGACTGGGTTGGACAGGTAATATCATCATCCTTTAACTCTAAAGCCAGGGGAGTGGTTGTCTTAATAAATAAGAACACCTCTGTGACAACTGGAGAAACCATTGTTGATACATTGGGGAGATATGTTTTAGTGAATTGTCAGATTTATTCAGAACCCTGGACCCTCTTAAATTTATACACACCCAATTATGATAATGATTTATTTATTCAAGACATATTCTTGAAGGTTTCAGGAGGACAGCAAAATATTCTCACAGGGGGTGACTTTAATTTTTGCCCGGATCCTCTCCTAGATAAGTCAACTCTGTCGGTTTCCAGAACTAAAGCCACCATAATCATCATAGACTTCAGGAAAGAATTAAACTTAACAGATGTGTGGAGACAAATGCACCCTCAAACGCGGGATTACTCCTTTTATTCTGGTCGCCACAACTCCTTTACTCGGATTGATCTTTTTCTATTGTCAATACAGTTGGTTCACAGAATGGTAGAATCTGAGTACTTATCTAGAACACTGTCAGATCACCTCTGACCCTTTCCATTTCTATGCCAGAAAAAGCTACTTATTTGTATAGATGGCATCTCAACCCTACCCTCCTTCAAAAACCAGACTTCTGCAAATTCATAAGAGATCAAATTAAGTTGTTCTGTGAGACTAACTGTGCCTCCTCTCCCAATAGTTTTATATTATGGGACACACTTAAAGCCTTTTTAAGGGGACAAATAATATCTTATACTAAAGGTATTTAAAAGAAATACATGGCAGAAATAGAATACATACATTTTGAAACTGGAAAAGGAGTTTCAACAATCAAAATCTAAGGAAGTATACCAGTTGTTAGTAAATAAAAAGCTCAAATACAATACATTACATACTTATAAAATTGAAAGAAAATATTTTAAGAACCAAACAAAGATACTACGAATTGGAAGAGAAGGCACACAAAATCCTATCTTGGCAACTAAGAAAAGAAGAAAGCTCTGGAACAATTAATTCAATTCAAACTGAAACAGGCTCTGTATCATATAAGCCAACAGAAATCAATGATACATTCAAACAGTACTATTCACACTTATATACATCAGAACCACCAGAAAACCTGAGTAAGACTGCTGAGTTTTTGTCCATGGTTGAACTGACCAAACTTGGCCGAGAAGACCAAAATAGTCTTGATCTGCCCTTTACACAAAAAGAAATTGAGAAGGCCCTGAGCTCATTACAAGCAAATAAATCGCCAGGAGAGGATGGGTTCCCTCCCGAATTTTAAAGGGAATTTAAGGATTTACTCCTCCCGCTTCTAATGGACGTCATTAACTTAGCCTCTAAGACTCAAACACTTCCCGAATCATTCTCTACTGCCATAATTACTGTGATTTATAAAAAAAAAAATAGAGACCCATTAAAATGCTCTTCATATCAGCCAATTTCATTGTTAAATACAGATTACAAATTGATCTCCAAGGCCCTGGCTAACAGATTTGGCCAATACCTACCACAACTAATAAACTCAGACCAGTGTGGTTTTATTTCAAAGCACTCCTCAGCTAACAGCTTATGTAGGCTCTTCAATATTATTCATTTAACAAAATCTGAGGAGCCGGGTGGCACGGTGGTGTGGTGGTTAGCACTCTCGCCTCACAGCAAGAGGGTTGCCGGTTCGATCCCGGGTGTAGGAGCCCTTCTGTGCGGAGTTTGCATGTTCTCCCCGTGTCAGTGTGGGTTCTCTCTGGGCACTCCAGCTTCCTCCCACAGTCCAAAGACATGCAGACTGGGGACTAGGTTAATTGATAACTCTAAATTGTCCATAGGTGTGAATGTGAGCGTGAATGGTTGTTTGTCTCTATGTGTCAGCCCTGCGATAGTCTGGTGTACCCTGCCTCTCGCCTGATGTCAGCTGGGATAGGCTCCAGCCCCCCCGCGACCCTCAAGAGGATGAAGTGGTTAGACGATGAATGAATGAATGAATGAAATGGAGCCTAGTATAGCTGTTGCGTTGGATGCCGAAAAGGCCGTTTTTATTTAAAGTGCTGGCCCATCATTTATTAATTGGGTTAAAACTCTCTACCATAAACCCCGGGCAAAAATTAGCACCGATGGACAGATTTAATCTACACTCCCTTTAAGTAGATCGAGTCGACAGGGATGTTCTTTGTCTCCAGCACTTTTCGTCTTAGCAATTGAGCCTTTAGCTGAAGCAATTAGACAGGATCCTGGCATAAAGGGCTTTCAGGTGGGCCCGTCAGTTCATAAAATTAATCTCCTGGTGGATGATGTTATTTTGTATTTAAAAGACCCTGACAATTCCCTTTCCAAATTACAAACTATATTAAATACCTATGGTAGTATTTCAGGTTATAAAGTGAACTTGGATAAAAGTGAAATTATTCCACTGACAAACTTTGATCATTCTGAACTCCAGCATGCTAGCTTTAGATGGCCTTCGAATGGTATAAAATATCTTGGAATAATTGTCGACAACAACCTTAAAAACCTGTACAAATTGAATTACCTCCCATTGCTCTGTAAGATTGAAGATGATTTACATAGGTGGATGGGCCTGCCTCTCACTTTGATCGGCAGAGTTAATTGTATTAAAATGAATGTACAACCAAGACTACACTATTTGTTTCAATCCCTATCCATTTCAATACCACAATCCTTCTTTAAAACTCTCAACAAATATGTAAGACAATTCATATGGAACTGTAAAGCACCCCGGACATCAATAGGAAAGTTAACATGGGACTATGGATCAGGAGGACTTAGATTTCCCAGTTTAAAAACTATTACTTGGCAGCTCAAAATTAGCTTTATCTAATCCTTTTTTGAGGGCAGTGATACCCCCTCTTGGATGCAATGAATGATGTTGAGAGACTGGTTCATAAGGGGGATGTTTATAAATTAATTTCTAAAATGTACTGCCTCTTGCTGAATGAAGGCCCAAAACCAGGTCTGCATAAATCCAGAACGAAATGGGAATCAGATCTTAATATTACAATTGACGAACAACTTTGGACAGATCTATGTCAGAACAGCCTATCAGCCGCTATTAACACCCGATATAGATTGATTAATTATAATATTCTGCACCAATTATACATTACCCCAGAAAAATTACATTCATTTAAATCTAACCTATCAGAAATGTGCTTCAGATGTACTATTGAAGTTGGTTCCTTTTTGCACTGGACCTGGCTGTGTACAAAAGTTAGGCCTTTCTGGTCATCTGCTCCACTTTAACCAGGATCACAGGAGCTAACATTCCACTGGACCCTGAACTTTGTCTATGGGGGAATTTTCGAAGTATCCGTGGTTCTCTAAATAATGCGCAACGTAAGTTCATGGAAATTGCTCTTTGTGTGGCAAAGAAGTGCATTGCAGTATCCTGGAAATCTGATTTCCCTATCCCTATATTGATCTATATGTTTATATAAGTATAAAAAAATACAGGGTCTATAGAAGCTAGGCAAGAACTAGCACTCAGTGACCACTCATTGGAACAGGCTAGCGGGTGCCCAGGTGTGCGTCATTGAAGAGGCCCCACCTTCAATTCCAGCAAATCATGCACAAAGGATCACTGCCAACAGTTCTCTGGCTGGATTTGATGACATAGCCTCCTTGAAATTTAGCCGTTTAAGGAACCTTTGTCTAGCAAATTGCAATTCCTGCTGATACAGGTGCATTGCAGGGTCAGAATTTGATGTATATGACATAACTCTATGAATCCATCCTGCCTTCTGTCAATGGTTCAGACTGCTTTGGTGGTGGTGTAATGGTGTGGGGAATATTTACTTACTCCATCAACATAGAAATTAGTTCAGTTTACTCCAATGGCCTCCACAATCACCTGATGATAACACAACAGAACACCTTTGGGATGTGGATTGTGCAGCTGACAAATCCACAGCAACTGTGTGATGCCATTATACAACATGGAGCAGAATCTCCAGGAATGTTTCAAGAACCTTGTTGAATCCATGCCACAAACAATTTGGGCTCTTCTGGGGCCAAAGGATCCTACCCAGTATTGGAATGTTGTACCGGATAAAGTGGCAACTGAGTGTTTATTTTTTCCACAATTATGTCGGACTATTGTTAATCAAACCTACATACGGTAGTAATGAAGAAGATAATACTCACGACTGCAAACTCATCTTTGTCCAGATGGCCATCTTTATCGATGTCACTCAGGTCCCAAACCTAACAGCAAGAAATAAACAAGATAAGGCTTTACAGTTTAATTTCAGGAGTGACTAACAATCACAGATTTTATTTCATTACCATAAATCCATTTTAGAAAAAGCATGAACATTCTCTGACAATTCACTGCTAAATATAAAAGTTCTACCAGCCATAATGACATTCTTGCTACTTCGTATTTGGGGGCAAAGAAAATATATTTAAATTCTTGCTTGAGTACTTCAATCTTCAATTTTTGGAACCAACAAGCCTAATTTAAGACCTTATTGAAGAAACTAAAATTGATGTCATTACCTTCCCAAGGACATCCAGAGGTAGCTTGGAGTTGATTAGGACTGGTTTTACCTTCTCCCCTGACAGCAGGCCATTGACTGGAGCCAAACTCTCAAAGATCCCATCAAATTTACTCTTCTCCTCGGGCTACAAAGGAAAACACACACTTGTAATGTAAAAAGCCTGATCTGTAAATGCTAGACTGACTGAACCTGATTCTGACTTCTGACTTAATGAAAGAGGTTCAGCTTATTCATACACTGTATGGTTTACTAAACTGTAATATTAGAGCTGAACAATAAAGCGTTTTAGAAGCAGATGCCAATACTGATATTTGAGAATTATAAATATTTTATGTAGTGAGTGGGACATTTTACGAAATAAAATTATCAGTGCTTTCTGGCAGACTAATATTCATATACAGTACAGGCCAAAAGTTTGGACACACCTTCTCATTCAATGCGTTTTCTTTATTTTCATGACTATTTACATTGTAGATTCTCACTGAAGGCATCAAAACTATGAATGAACACATGTGGAGTTATGTACTTTACAAAAAAAGGTAAAATAACTGAAAACATGTTTTATATTCTAGTTTCTTCAAAATAGCCACCCTTTGCTCTGATTACTGCTTTGCACACTCTTGGCATTCAAGAGGTAGTCACCTGAAATGGTTTTCCAACAGTCTTGAAGGAGTTCCCAGAGGTGTTTAGCACTTGTTGGCCCCCTTGCCTTCACTCTGCGGTCCAGCTCACCCCAAACCATCTCGATTGGGTTCAGGTCCGGTGACTGTGGAGGCCAGGTCATCTGCCGCAGCACTCCATCACTCTCCTTCTTGGTCAAATAGCCCTTACACAGCCTGGAGGTGTGTTTGGGGTCATTGTCCTGTTGAAAAATAAATGATCGTCCAACTAAACGCAAACCGGATGGGATGGCATGTCGCTGCAGGATGCTGTGGTAGCCATGCTGGTTCAGTGTGCCTTCAATTTTGAATAAATCCCCAACAGTGTCACCAGCAAAACACCCCCACACCATCACACCTCCTCCTCCATGCTTCACAGTGGGAACCAGGCATGTGGAATCCATCCGTTCACCTTTTCTGCGTCTCACAAAGACACAGCGGTTGGAACCAAAGATCTCAAATTTGGACTCATCAGACCAAAGCACAGATTTCCACTGGTCTAATGTCCATTCCTTGTGTTTCTTGGCCCAAACAAATCTCTTCTGCTTGTTGCCTCTCCTTAGCAGTGGTTTCCTAGCAGCTATTTGACCATGAACGCCTGATTGGCGCAGTCTCCTCTTAACAGTTGTTCTAGAGATGGGTCTGCTGCTAGAACTCTGTGTGGCATTCATCTGGTCTCTGATCTGAGCTGCTGTTAACTTGCCATTTCTGAGGCTGGTGACTCGGATGAACTTATCCTCAGAAGCAGAGGTGACTCTTGGTCTTGCTTTCCTGGGTCGGTCCTCATGTGTGCCAGTTTCGTTGTAGCGCTTGATGGTTTTTGTGACTCCACTTGGGGACACATTTAAAGTTTTTGCAATTTTCCGGACTGACTGACCTTCATTTCTTAAAGTAATGATGGCCACTCGTTTTTCTTTAGTTAGCTGATTGGTTCTTGCCATAATATGAATTTTAACAGTTGTCCAATAGGGCTGTCGGCTGTGTATTAACCTGACTTCTGCACAACACCACTGATGGTCCCAACCCCACTGATAAAGCAAGAAATTCCACTAATTAACCCTGATAAGGCACACCTGTGAAGTGGAAACCATTTCAGGTGACTACCTCTTGAAGCTCATGGAGAGAATGCCAAGAGTGTGCAAAGCAGTAATCAGAGCAAAGGGTGGCTATTTTGAAGAAACTAGAATATAAAACATGTTTTCAGTTATTTCACCTTTTTTTGTTAAGTACATAACTCCACATGTGTTCATTCATAGTTTTGATGCATTCAGTGAGAATCTACAATGTAAATAGTCATGAAAATAAAGAAAACGCATTGAATGAGAAGGTGTGTCCAAACTTTTGGCCTGTACTGTATTTATTATATGGCTGGGCAATATGGCTTAAAAATAACATTGCCATATATTCAGGATATATCGTGATACACAATATATATCTCTATATTTTGATATCTCCTCAGCTACTGTACCACTAAAATTCAGAACTATTAAATGAATTACAGGTACAATAAAGGTAAATAAAGTACTGCTATAATAAAGTCAAATAAAACACTTATAATGAAGTCAACTGAAGTACTGGTATAATTAAAGTGGTGCTCCATGGCCACAAATTGCAACTAAATAGTAGCCTGGAGCCATACAAATGAGAAACATGCCTAACCTGTTCACACTATCACTCAAGAGAAAGTGATCTGGACAGGCAGAGGAGTGTGTGTGTGACTTATCATGTTTGTGAGACATTCTTTTCGTGTGTGTATCTGTGAGGGGAAAAGAGCCAGAAGAGAGCCAAAGAACGGAAACACAGAATGTGTCTCATGCCAGTGGTTTAAAAAAACAAAACAACAATCTATACACATCCCACTTGGAATATTCCATATATCGCCCACCCCTAATCTATCAATGTACTTAATATATATAATGCAACCTGCTACATTAATCATCACATATCTGTTCCATTACCATTTGCACAACTGCACTGCATATTATACATGTACATATATCAAAAACGTAGACATTTTTGAGATTTTAGACCGTTCAGCTGTCCTACTATATAAAAACTACGTTACTACTGACATTAAAGCACATCAGTGTTGTTTCCTTTGCCCACTGTGTTGGAGGTGAGTTTGCTACATCCCACAAACTGCATGAGCTCTTTCACTCTAATAAATACATAAATAAACAGTCATAGACAGTCTGTTGCTGCACAGCAACTCGTGCTTCAGCTTGGGGGTCGTGTATGTTACTGCGCTGCGTGGTAAGCTGCTAAGAAGAGTCTGTAGCTGTGCGGTGGCTTGTTCTTCCGCTCAGTATGTTTTTATCCACCGCTCTATCTCTCTCCATAGCACTCGTAATTCACAGCAAAACTGAAGTGGCTCCAAACACCAGACCTGTAGGTTATCAGAGAATGTTCTATTTCTGGTTTGATAATGGCGTTACCAATCATCTTGCAATAAGCTAGCTTAGCGTAGCTGCCTCCCAGTTTGTCTTACTGGAGTAGAATGTTCTAGTTTGGGGGTGGGAGGGGCAGACAGCATGTTGCCTGTTCTGTCCTGTGGGCTGCCTTGTTGAGCACCATGGCTCTGAGAACATTACATTAGACACAGTTTAAGCTGTAGATTTTTATTTTCCACATGTAATTAATTAATAAATTAAACATATTGTTCAGTTCGTACTGCGTACCATACCGACTTGTACCAAACGGTTTAATACAGTTTACAATATATATATGTTGAAGAAAGGAGCCATTATACAGAGGGATTTCCAAAGAAACTAGTAGGCAACAGCACTCACAAAAGACTAGAATCAAAATCTATGTCTTAATAGAGCAACACACGGCCAAACAAAATGACAAACGCGTTTCGGCCTAAGCCTTCTTCAGTGTATCAAACAGAGACAAAGACACTGAATACTATCCAATCACAATGCAAGGTGTAATTAGAGGCAATAGCCACCATATGTGTAGCAGCTGCAGCAGACAGGCTGACACAAGACAACTGCCAAGGCCTAGTCCACACAAGCACGGGTATTTTTAAAACCAAACTTTTTTGGCCTCCAGTTTTGAAAAAATCTGCGTCCATACGAGCGGTGCAATAAAAATACCTCTGTCCACATGACACCGCAAATTCCACTGTCAAGCAATGTAATACACATGTCAAAGCAGTAGGTGGCGATATAACTCCTAACTGTAAGGCCACTGTGGCCAATCAGAAGGCAGTAAAACGTCATTACCGGAAAAACAACAACAAGCATACTATTATGCAGTAGGAGCAGTCTCCATAATAGCACACTCTTGCGCCTCTGTTGCTGGATGTGGTTGAGTAGCGTTAGTTGTATGATACAGCCACAAAGTGCTGATATGCTGCTAAATAGCAGCAGTATTTTGTTTAGGTCCATCCTCAAATCGTCTCTCGCACACACTGGATCAGGTAATAACACAGCTGTTTTCTGTTTACGTCGCACACTGTGACGTCATACAATGGAGATGAGACAAAATAACTGCGGTTATCCTGTTCACACATAACTGCTGACACCAGACTTTTCCAAAAAGTTCACCCTGGACTCCGGTTACAAATAACGCCGGTTACAGGGGCCCAAAACTGCGGTTACGTGTGGATGAAAGGCCAAACCGTGAGCAAAGAGTCACGGTTCTATAAATACCTGCGTTGGTGTGGACAGCCCCCAAGTCTGATGCAAAGTCTGATGCACAAGAATCAATGCATGCAAACAGAAGTATTCAAATACATTGAGACATATAAGAACATCAAAAATATTAAGCTTCAGACTAGTTGAATGAGAAAAATGTTAGACAATAAGCAGGGGAGAATTAACGTGACAGAAAAGAGACTGAAAATAGGCTTTTAAGTCACTGGATATAACTCTACTAGGGACTAAAAGAACCCCAGAAAAATAGTCTGAACCTATTACAGAGAATCTACACCAATATCAATACTAACAATATATAGAGTTACAAAAAGTTTAAAAATGATTACAGGGCTATACTAATCAATAGTATAATATTGAGTAGCCTAAATAGTAGAGGGGACAGAAAAATGATTAATTTAGGTGAAAAAAGTCTCTGAAAAAGAGGGAGACATTTACATTCAAAAGAGGAATAAAGGGGCTTCAAGGATTAGTAGAGCCTCTGTAAAATGTATAAAGACACTGAATATAAATGTATCCAAAAAGAAGGCCTAATAAAAAGGGACAATATATCATAAAGTAGTCTAATGGTCAAAAAAGACAACAGGAAATCTCATCCTTACTTGTAAGACAATTTTACAGAAACCAGTCAAAGGAAACAACTCAAAAGAAGTTCTTCATTTAAATCTCGAGGACTCTCTGTTTGTAAGATATGTGTCCATTTAGCTTCTCTTTGCAGTAACAGTTTGTCTCTATTCCCACCTCTTCTAAGGGGCTGGATCATATCAATCCCCTGAAATTTGAGTGTGCAGACATCACGGCCAACA